TGACACCTTGACACAGACGCGGAAGCCCACTATATATACACATCTAGATGTGTATAAGAGACAGGGGTAGTCCGACACCTCGCACCTACCAACAACCTGGAGTTGTTACCCCGCTTGATCCGAGCGTACAACAAGGTTCGCCCACGTGCCACAGTCCTTTGCGGCCATGCGCCAACCCCGCACACTCAGTGTCAACTTGTCAGATCGCCCGACCCCCTTAGCCCCTACTCACCGTCTCTGCTCGTTAGTCGATCCTCTCGACCACGCTAACTCCAAGTGTAGATTAGAGAGCGAATTAGTCGCGCTTACAGATTTTATAGCTTAGTGTCGGCGTGAGACAATCGGGATTATACTGAAGCAGAAAGAAGAGGGAAGAAGGATGTGCCTACAACTGCATGGCCAGGCCGTGGCGTGGGGGACGTAGCCACTCTTCACGCATCGATCCAGTCATGCATCTTTTTGGCCAATAAGACGGACAAAGAAAAAAACAAGTTTTACTGCAGAAAGAAATCAAGGAGGAGGAGATTACAGTTACACCTGCACTCACCAATAAGAAACAAGAAGAGATTATAGTTGCGATGAGAATTAAGGCGCGGCGAGAACAAGATGTAGGACAAGTCTCAGCAAAGTGCGCACGAGTAAGGAGCATAGTGCAGTTACAACGACAAAAATTCACGACAAAATTACGTTGCCCAAATTTCCCCCAATTCCTAGTCTAATTAGAGTCCTAATTCCTATTGCTTTCGTATTTCAAAATTCAAAACGATTTATTTCCGCTTGATGACCACGCTAAAGCCCCTTTCCCCATTTTCAGCAGAACAAGAAAGAAGCTATGACAACAATTATTTCCACGCTCGCTAAGGCGCGTTCCAACTACCAACAACCATGGGACCCAGTTTTCTCAAAAAAGGATGGACCCGGGGCATTTGTGCAATTGAGTCGGCTCTTCGCCTTAACCCCCAAAGTACAGTCGTGCAGAAAGTCACTTGTTACAGAAAGCAGTTCGTCACAGGTGTGCATACAGGGTAGGATCGAAACGGGCATGTCCGGGGCGTGACGTCCACACCGTACATGTACTTTTTGTGTTCCATCGCCGCCTGTCATATGTCGTTTTTACTTTGTACACCTGCCCACCTTTGTCGTCTCTGGGTTACAAGCCACAAGTCATAAGGACATGGTATATCCAGTGCATTTGAACTAGTAGATCTACGGAAAGGCGGACATAATGTAATAATGGGACGGTGGGCCCGGTTCCGAGTAGGTGCAGCTCCCCACCAATAGATGGAGCCTTCACACACAGGGCCCTCCTTAGCGAGGATGCTCTTACCAACTCGCTAAGCAGATCACCTAAGCCTGAAGTTTCCTCAAAAAAAAAAAAAAAAAAAAAAAAAAAGCATACGACGGACTTGCAGCAACGAACACAAGTGCACAAGCACCACCACGATAAGGAGGAGGAGGATGACACAGAGTAACGTCAGCTTCCTAACGTGGTCAGCCATGCACGACGGCAAGGAAAGCAGGGGTTTGAAGCAAGGTAGCTCCAAACTCAGCTCTTGGGACATAGGGCCTCGTTAGACACTCCTTACGAGTTCCTTGAGCCACAAGGAAACGTCCTTATGTTTTTTTAGGGGAATTTGTGGCATCGTTCCACTCATCCTTGGAGACCTCCCTTGAGGATGCTTCCTTGTGGCTTCCCCGTGGCCATTTTAATACGTAAATTAGCGGTCGCGGGGTTGGTCGGCCTTGGTCCAACTTCTTTTGTCTGTGTGGAGGCGGCGTGGTCCAGCGACGCGAGGCGGCAAATGACATACGGCGGGCGACGCGAAAAAAAAATTAACCCCAATGGCCTGGGCATTTGAAATTCGAAATTCGAATGACTGCTGCGACGACGACGACGTGTGGCTGGCGGCACGAGGACGGCGTTCTGCGAAAAGGGGCCGTCCAGGGGCCGTTGCAAGTGCGCGGGCAGCAAGTGGTGCGGCCATCGCCGTGGACCTTTGCACATGTCGACTGCGCCTTGCTTCTCATTTTTGTGAGTGAAGGACAGCAAGCAGAGAAAAGGGGCCACCTTTCGACGGACATCTCCGGCTTCTTCGTCGGATGCGGAAGGACGACACAGACGGCAGCGCAAAGACGGGACTGTGGGCACGTCGCGGCTATGGAGGGCGGCGCAGAGGGTAGACGTGATGTGTTGACATGTCGTGAGCTGCCGGCCGTGTCCACGATCGTTCTTCGATGTCAGCAGGAGAGGGCGCTGGGGCGACTGAAGGAGCTGTTGCGCGCGCGCAGACTGAGGACATTGACGCAAGCTCCGGACGATAGGGCCGAATACGAGGCGACGTCGGAGGCTGTTATTGAGTTGTGCTACGCGTTGGGTTGCGGCGTGATTCCTTGTGCGACGCCGCGGTGGTGGGTAAAGCGCAGGACAGGAGGCACGTGGGAAGACCTCGGGCAATGCGACGACGCGACAGACGACTACTTCCAGGATAAGCTACGAATGTCGCTGCGAGTGTTCCGGGAAATCGCGGAGGCGTGTGCGCCTCATCTTCAGCGGCGGGTGACGTTCTACAGGGAGCCTTTGCAGCCGAACCAGATTGTGGCATACGCATTGTACAGGTGGGCTTCGGGGGAGACGTACGAGAGCAGCACGTGCAACTTCGGGATTGGACGAGCTTCTGGGTTGAATGCCGTCTGCGACGTGATTGCCTCGCTGCTAAGGGTATTTGGAGAGAATCGCATGGCCTACAGGGGTTCGTAAACTCGTCGTTCTGCGGGCGTTTGTTGATAAAGGGTTCCCCAGCTGCCACAGTTGCATTGATTGTACTCACATCTACGTCGACAAGCCGACGAACGCTACGAGCGAAAACTACTACGACAGGAAGCGCCATTTCTCCATCGTCTCGCAGGCTGTCGTCGACTCTGGACTTGCGTGTGCTCGACGTGCACATGGGATACCGAGGTAGCTGCCATGACATCAAGGTGCTGCAGTTGTCCAACCTGTCACTGCGCTCGGAGGAGGGGCCGTTGTTCCGTGGTCCCCCCGTGACACTGCCGTTCGATTTGAAGACGAACGGGTATCTTCTGACAGACAATGGCAAACCCCCTTCGGAGTGGATGGTCGTCCCGTACGGAGGCATCAATCAGCACTTCGATGAGGAGCGGTTTGACAACAAACAGAAGGTGGCGAGGTGAGCGGTGGAGAGGGCGTTCGGCAGGCTGAAGGGCATGTGGCGGCTGTTTCTAGGGACACACAAGACAAACCTGGACACGCTCCCGCAGCAGTTCACCGCCGTGTGCATACTACACAACATAATGATCGACGCAGGAATCCCCTTCGACGAGAATCTGCTATGGGAGGTCGACGGTAATGGTGTGCGACATCGTATGGACCTCGGGATGGAAGAGCCCCTTCAGCCTGTGTCGATGATGACGTCGACAGACGAAGCGTTGGCCCTGCGAAATGCTTTGGCGGAACGAATGAAACACGATTGAGTCGTGTTGAGATGGTGGACGGCAGCGAGTGGAAGTGCATTCACTGCAGCAATGGCCGGAGGGCAGATTCGTTGTTCCGTCCTACCTTGATTGAGTCGCTAGCATCTCTCCCCCGTCGGGGTTGGTGGTTTGCGTGGAGGGTCGTGTTTCCCATGTTGGACGGCAGCGAGTGGTAGTGCATTCATTGTAGCAATGGCCGGAGGGCAGATTCGTTGTTCCGTCTAGCCTTGATTTGGTTGCTAGGTTCTGTCCTGCTTCTGGGATCGGTAGTTTGCGTCGAGGGTCGTGGTTCGTTGTCGTCGTGATTCGTGGATGTGCGTTGCCATCCATTTTCTTGATTTCTGTGATTGGCGTTGAAGTTTTGTAGTGCGGACACGACGCACTGCGGGTGTAAAGTGCGCCTTTTTTAGCACAGTGGGCGCAGTTTAGAAGACGGAGCAGTGTTCGTCTTTCGGGTGGGGCTGAAACTTGTTCCCCACCTGCCTTCGATTTTGAAGTCTCCTCTATCAATTGTTGAACGATTTCGCGAATCCCTTTTAAAGTTTATTTCGTCAATTTCCACTATGTGTTGGCATTATGTGTGTGCCTATTTCATTGCGTCCATATTGCGTGTTGTTATTTCATTGCATTGATGCAGTGTGCCATTGCGTGTTCAGAACGTGTTTTGGCGGACATCTTCTGTTGTACGGTGCGCTGCGCTTTGTCTTCCTGCGAGTGTTGAACTGAAACACAAACACGTCTTTTGTTTGGCATTGGGATAACTGGGGGGAAAAAAAAAAAAAAAAAAAAAAACCGACAATGGCACAGGCACATGAAGATGAGATGTGTGAATGTACATCCAACATGTCAAGGACTACTCGTGTTTCAAGAGAAATACCATTCGGTGTGGAGTGCGTGATCAGTCATGATCCGCAAACTGACGAAATACAGAAGGAATCAAAATTAGAAAATCAAAGGTGCACCCCAAGCGCAATCAAGTTGTTTCGCCACAAGCTGCACTGACAACAACACAAAACAAGATCGCAGAAACCCACTTCACTCCTAAAATGTGCTGAAGAGAGCGCCATCTACAGTCGCTTCTCCACTATCAGCACCGACACACTGTCCACATCCACAAGCAACGGCGACACTGTCACATAAAGCACCCCTGCCAGAGTGGACGACTGAAAACGTCGGGCGTCTAAAAGCAGGAGCCACACGCTGTACAAGTGTGGAACGAAGGGAGAGCCCATCAAGAATCCGTTTTCCAACGCGCCACCACGAAAACTGCATCTCCGACGATGCCAAACACTGCCCCCTCTCCACTTCCCAAACCCGCACCGGCAAACGCGACCCGTTCAGTTACCTTCTCCCGCCCTGCACGTATGAGCCACGTATGAGCAGCAGCAATACCTTCCCCCTCCCCCTCCCCCCCCAACCCCCCCCACCCGCTACGTGTCGTCTTTTCCATCGTCGTCGTCGTTGTCGTCGTCATCCTCCAAGGGGCCCGAACTCAACCAATCCCTCCTCTTCGCGTCCTCCGGCCCCGTTATGCTCGCGTCGTGCCCGAAGACGATGCCGCAGGAAGACCAGTCGGGGATGCCGCAGGAAGCCCAGTCGACCGTCCAACGAACAAGCCCGTCGACAGAAGAAAGATCGGTGGGAGATCTGTGCACCAACGTGCGAGGCGTGACGACAAACGAAGAAACCGACGAACTTCTGCAATCAAACTGTCGTTGTCGAAAGCAGCGGCGGCCGGGAAAAGCATTCGAATTTCGGACCGTTGTCGACGATCGCCCGCTGCAGCAGACCGCAGGGCGCCAGCAGGCAAATCGCGTAGACGGACGGAGGCCTCTCGCGGACGGTGACCGTTTGGAGCCGTTGGGGCACCGTGCACACTTTGGAGGCAGGGATGTCCGTGCTCCCGTTCGCTGGACCACGTCTGGACCAACCTCGAACGGAATTGTGCGTCGACGCATGCCTTCGCAGCTCCGAATTTCGCGCTTCCTTGTGCTCCGAGTGACCTCGGGAGGTCCCTTGGGGGTTAGGAAAAAATGGCTCTGGCCACAAGGACGCCACAAGGAAATTTCCTTGTGGTGTTTTCACATTTTTCTTCGAGAATCGTCCCCAAGGACAGGTGGAACGATCATTTCCTTGTGGATTTAGGGTCCACAAGGAGTGTCTAACGAGGCCCATACACTCTCACCAAGCTTGCCCTTGTCTTGTTGTAAAGACGAGAGCCTGCATGCTCGTCTGTGGGTTCCGCCGGTCGAATACACCCCCCACGCCCCTCCATACACCGCACTCCGTGTGCCACAGCCATTTGAAATTTGAAAAACACTTTAAAACAGTCACATGGCAATGGCCCCCGCGGAACGCCAACGGCCGCCAACGACCATGGTACCGCCGCTGAAACCGCATATCGCAACGGACAGCTGTGATGGCCGGCACCGTTGGGAAAACCAGCCATGAACCAGGAACACAGGAAAAGTATACATGACCAAAAAAAAATAAAAAATTCCGGTTTCTGCAGCTGTCCGTCCCGTTGCTACCTCCAGGAGGTGACGTCAGTTCAAGGGCAATTTTGCCCCCGGTTTTCAAGGGCGCGCACTTGGGACGCGAAAATGTGAAAACAAGGCGGGTCACTATAAGGGGGAAAATGTGATTTTTCGCTTAGCCCTTGAACTCAAGTGGTGTGGAATGAGGCCCTTAGGATGCTCCAGGCTGGAGGGAGAGGGTTGTTCCTGAAGAGGTGTCGACCGAGTTATTCTGACACTTTGTGCACGGAGGTTGGTCGTCTCTCTCGACAGTGTGTGCAGCCATCACAAACTGTCGAGATTCCTGGATTCGACAGTGGTGTGGCAAGGCCCTTAGTACTTGTTTGGTATATTTTTCAACGTGGTCATACTGTGGCTATAGCGATGAGATTTAAATTTCGGATTGGATGGCGAGTGTTGTATACTTGAAACAAGCACTAAACCTCCACTGGGGCATCCACCCCGCTGTTAGGGAATTAGACAGTCACATAACATAAGGAACCCACTTTCCAGCAGGTGATGTTCCCCACCAATAGATGGAGCCTTTCAGGCAGCCCCACGTATCGAGGATGCTATCCAGGAATCCGATCCTCCTATCAGCTCCTTACGGTGGGTTCCTGCAACGAAGTTTCTCAAAAAAAAAAAAAAAAGAAGGTGCTAATCAACTTTTTTTTTTTTTTTTTGAAGTTTTTCCCTCCTCCCAGCGCTGTAACGTCCAGCGCTCTTCCTCCTAGCGGTGCGCTGAAGTCCAGCGCTTGCTCTAGTGGCATGTCGCCCAAACTTGCATACCGCAAATGAGGTAGAGCCCAGCGCTCTACCTGAAGATACAGCGGCCTACTTGCCTCTTGGGCAGTGACTTCCAGGCCGCGCGGCCTCCAAGCAACCAGTACCTCCTCCCTTTCAGACGGAAACATCATTCCATTGGCAAGCTCTGATATCGTCCGCACAGGCCCTAGACTCAAGCTACTTGGACTGGTACCCGTCTAGACCTAGCCTACCAACTACTGGGCCTCTGAAAATGCCAACTTTGTCTTCTTCTGCTCAGCCTCCAGTTCCCGACACATCTAGCACAACTTGTGTGGTACTGACGTACCTACTACTTGAGTGTTTTTTTCCGCTGCTCTGAGTGTCACGGGCCTACTCCCACCACTTTAGTGTTTTCCCCGCTGCAACCCTCAAAGTCAGGCCACAGGTAAGTACCGGCCCTGCGGGCCCGACAAACAAACAAGTGCCCTTGCGGGCCACACACAAACTCAGACCAACAAGCACTCAGACAGGCACCCAGACCAGCGAGCACGCACACACACAGACTCAGGAACTTTCGGACATGTGCTGGTTGGATGTGTGATGGGATTGGGTCAAAGGTGGGAACATGGAAGCCTTGTATTGTTGTCTGCATGAACCCTTTAAGTTATCGTTTTCCCTTTCGCAAATGATGAAAATTGGCCAAACTCACTGTGTTAAATTCTTTCCCCCCTTTTTTTTCCCCTTTTTTTTCCCCTTTTTTTTCCCTTTCGCAAATGATGAAGATTGGCCAAACTCACTATGTCCAATTGTCGTCTGCATGAACCCTTTAAGTTATCGTTTTCGACCTGGAATGCTCTCTCTCTCTCTCTCTCTCTCTCTCTCTCTCTCTCTCTCTCTCTCTCTCTCTCTCTCTCTCTCTCT